TTCCTTGCTTCTAAGGAAATTCTCTTGGGAAGAATTCTCAGCCAGAAACAACTTGAACAAGCCCAAGTGCCGTGAGCTTGTTCCACTTGGTCTCAGAGCCTGTTTTTTCCTCGTGAGTTGCTGCCGGGAGATTCTTGCACCATGGCCGATTCAGAGCGTGATGCCGCGGTTCGAGAGTTAGTAGCTAAGGAGGTGCAGGCTGCCCTGCAGAACGCAGCTGCACAGCAAAGCGTAGCTACAGCTCCGGGAAGCGTAGTGGGATCCCTTTCCCATGTGAGAGCATCGATGTCGGACACCTTTGTTCCAGGGAAAGGACAACCGGTGGTTCGACGATGGCTCTTCCTTGTGGAAGAATATCTACGCTTAAGTCACGTGGCTGGTGAAGAGTGGGCACCGTTCGCCGGGACCCTACTCAGAGGCTCTGCGGTTGCATGGTGGCAATCGGTGCGACCTGCTATCCAAACCTGGCAGCAATTCAAGGAAGCTCTCGTTGCGGCATACGAACCTATCAACGCGATGGCAAGGGCGCGTGATCGTCTTGCAAATCTGCGGCAGCGTACTTCTGTAGCAGATTACATCGCTGAATTTCGTGACATCTCCACCAAAATTTCAGACCTTTCAACGGCTGAGGCGCTGGACAAGTTTAAGCGCGGGTTGAAAGACGATGTTAGGATGGAGGTAGAGGTGCAGGGCTGTAGTTCGCTTGAGGAGATGGCGCGTGTCGCTGAACGTTACGATGAGATTCATTTCGGTAACCGTCGCAACCGTTTTAACCGTGGGATGCGGTTCAGTCCGAACATGTTCCAGCCTTTCCATGGGGAGCAGCGTGGTGGTGCAGGACCGACACCGATGGAGCTGGATACGATTGATAAGAACAAGGAGAAGCGAAAGGGCTTTGCTGGAAATTGCTTCAAGTGTGGGAAACGCGGTCACAAAGCACTCAACTGCCCTACCAAGCCAAGGCAGCCGGGAAACAAGCCTCACCAGTAGCTTCGGGGCGAGTTGCTGGTGGTGAGGTGTGCCCCACCTTGCTGACTCCATCCTCAACGCCGCTGCAGCAGGAGTCGGAAGGAGCCATAGTACTTCGGGGGCAGATTCGTGGTAAGGAGGTAAAGATGTTGCTGGATAGTGGTGCTTCATCCAATTTCATTTCTTCTCGGCTGGTGCATGAATTGAAGTTACCTGTGCAGAGCAGTACAGTGGAGAGTACGGTGCGCATGGCGGATGGTGTAGTGAGGAGCTGTGGACCTGAGTTGTACCCGGTCAACTGCAACGTAGGGGAGTTTCATGGGAAAATTCGGTTTCAACAAATCTGGCTAGACAGTCATGACATCATCTTGGGCAGGAACTGGTTGGCAACAGTGAACCCTCAGGTGGATTGGAGAACCAGGGAGGTCAAGGTGCTGTTTGGAGGCAGATCTGTATGTTTACCAGTGGTGCAGCAGCAGGAGGGGATGACCTTGCAGCTGATTAGTGCGAAGCAGTTTGGTAAGGCCATTCGGGGGGAGGAAGCAGTTTTTCTAGGTCTCATCTCAGAGGTCCAGCCTACATCACCTGACGCAGTAACACCAACGGTTTCAGCATCACATGAGGATGAGGAGTTAACACGGGGTGTAGAGAAGCTGCTGGAAAATTTTTCAGGGGTGTTCCCCGAGGACTTACCGGCTGGACTTCCTCCTAAGCGAGCTGCAGATCACAGGATAGAGTTGATTCCTGGATCTACCCCACCTGTTAGACCGACCTACAAGATGAGTGCACTGGAGCTGAAGGAGCTGAAGAAGCAGTTAGAGGACCTGTTAGCTAAGGAGTTCATTCAGCCTAGTTCTTCTCCGTATGCTTCTCCGGTGCTGTTCGTGCGGAAGAAGGACGGTTCTCTGCGGATGTGTGTAGATTACCGCGGGCTGAACAAGATAACAGTGAAGAACCGATACCCACTGCCACGGATAGATGAACTGTTTGAGCAAGTTGGTGAGGCACGGTACTTCTCGAAGTTGGATCTGCGTTCGGGGTATCATCAGGTGCGGATTCAGAGTGAGGACATCCCAAAAACAGCATTCCGAACACGGTACGGTCACTATGAGTTTCGTGTGTTGCCCTTTGGTCTCACCAACGCTCCAGCCACTTTCCAAGGCATGATGCAGAGCATTTTCAGTGATTTCATTGACAAGTTTCTGGTGGTTTTCATTGATGATTTGCTGGTTTACAGTCGCACTCGTGAGGAACACCTAAAGCACCTTGAGCTGGTCCTTGCACGTCTGAGTGAGCACAGATTGTATGCCAAGCGTTCAAAGTGTGAGTTTGCAAAGACCAAGCTGTCTTTCTTGGGTCATGTCATTTCACATGAGAAGCTGGAGGTAGACAACAGCAAGGTAGCAGTCCTGAAGGAGTGGAAGCAGCCGAGTACAGTGAAGGAGGTGCAGGCTTTCTTGGGGTTAGCTAACTACTACCGGCGGTTTGTGAAGGGATTTGCAGCAGTGGCAGCACCTCTGACCGATCTCTTACGGAAGGACTCATCATTCAGTTGGGGACCATTGCAGCAGCAAGCTTTTGAGCAGCTCAAAACTTCTCTTACTTCACCCCCTGCCCTAGCAGTACCAAATCCAGAGCTCCCATACTTCATTTGGTGTGATGCATCAGACGTTGCTCTTGGAGCAATTCTCTGCCAGGAGCAGGAAGCTGGGCTGCAGCCAATAGCCTTTGAGTCACGGAAGCTCACTGCTGCAGAGCGCACATACCCCATTCACGAGAGAGAGGCACTTGCTGTGGTGCATGCACTGAAGAAGTGGCGCTGTTATGTGGAGATGCAGCCCGTTACAGTCTTCACTGATCACCGAACACTGGAGTACTTGAAAACACAGTCACAGATCACACCACGGCAGGCGCGGTGGGTTCAGTTTCTGGAGCAGTACGTCCCCAACCTTCAGATTGTGTACAAACCAGGGCGCTTCAATCCGGCGGATGTTCTGTCACGGCCAGCAGCAGAGGAGCTGAATGTCATGGGAGTGGTTACATGGGACCGCAACTTCATCACTCGTTTCAGTCGTGGTTACAACCGTGATCAGCTGTACCAACAGAAAGCCTCCCATGACCCATCCTTTCTTTTCAGCAATCCCTTTTGGACCCGTGCAGATTCTGGTGCTGTGTGTGTACCTGATGACTCCAGGCTTCGCCAGCTGCTACTACACGAGTACCATGACAACCGGTCACACTTCGGCAGTGACAAGACATATGCTGCCATTTCTCGTGACTACTACTGGCCTGGACTGTTCCGGAGTGTAGCTGAGTACGTCGCTTCATGCCCTACCTGTCAGGTCAACAAGGCTCGCACCACTGCACCGGCTGGTCTGCTGCAACCATTGGAGATACCCACAGCTCCCTGGACTTGTGTTTCTCTGGATTTTATCACAGACCTACCCCGCACCCCTACAGGCTTTGACAGCATTCTTGTGGTGATTGACAAGCTGTCCAAGATGGCTCACTTCATCCCTACAACTGGCACAGTGACTGCTGCTGAAACTGCCAAGCTGTTTTTCACACAGGTGGTGAGGCTACACGGACTGCCCTCAGCCATAATCAGTGACAGAGACACACGGTTCCTCAGCAACTTCTGGACTGCACTGTTTCAACTGCTGGGCACACAGATTCGACTCTCTACAGCCTACCACCCTGAAACTGATGGTCAAACAGAGCGCATGAACAGAACCTTGGAGGATGCGCTACGCTCGTGTGTGAATTCTATGCAAACTGACTGGGATCAGCACTTGGCAGCAGTGGAGTTTGCCTACAACAGCAGCCCCAACATTGCCACGGGAGAGCCACCGTTTCTTTTAGCTACTGGACAGCTACCACGCTCAGTCACATCCCTCCCTCACCCTCTTCATTCCCCTAACCCCACAGCAGCAGATTTCATCTCTTCTCATCACCGCATTCTCCAACTTGCCCGAAGGAAGCTTCAGCTTGCACAAGAGCGCCAAGTTCGCTATGCCAACCAGCATAGGCGTCACACCACTTTCAGAGTTGGTGATTTGGTGCTGCTTTCAACGGCTAACCTGCCCCTGCTGAATGCTGGAACTTCTCGCAAGCTCGCACCCAGATTCGTTGGACCATTCCCCATCACCAAGGTTCTCTCACCGGTCAGCTACCGCCTTCAACTTCCTCCTCACATGACCATACACCCTGTTTTCCATGTTCACCTTCTTCGACCTTACCGTACTCCCTCTCACCCATTCCAGCCCCGCCCACCCATGTTCTCTGCCCATCCGGACCTGCATGAGGTTGACACCATCCTCTCACACCGTGACACTTCGGTTGGCCGTGAATACCTCATTCACTGGCGCAACACCTCAGCATCTGAAGACTCATGGGAGCCGTTCTCCAACCTCAGCCATGCTCCTCGTGCCATTGGAGTCTATCTTGCCTCATTGGCACCGAGGATGGTGCCTTCAGGGAGGGGAGGTAATGTAACAAGTGGGGTCTGCACTGGGGGCAGCGTGAAGCGCACGGGAGGCAAAAGCATGCAGCAGCAGCGTGCAACTGCGAACGTGGGCAGCAAAGGGGCGGAAGTGAGCAGGACGTGGGGGACCCACGTGAGAAGGGCGAAACTGAGGTTTCGTGCCTTGACTGACTTGGGGGGACTTCCGCGTGGGACAGGTGGCGAAAGTCCAGACTTGGAGGAATAGAAATGCAACACGTGTGTGGGTGCAGTGAGGTGTACAAATGTGAGTAGAAATATGGAATGCGGCTCGATGTTGGGGCTGGCCACCCGAATCGACATTCCGAGCCGCATGTCTGAATTGTAAATGTACTGTACATATAAAAATGCATTCGTAGGAATTAGAGAGTAGTTGCTGTTTCTCTTTCTGTTTGTTCTTCCTTGCTTCTAAGGAAATTCTCTTGGGAAGAATTCTCAGCCAGAAACAACTTGAACAAGCCCAAGTGCCGTGAGCTTGTTCCAGTTATCAGCCCATAAATCTACTACTTGCCTTCACTAATACTAAGCAATGGCTTCCTCCCTGGTCGCACGCCAATCGCTTTCTGCTCTCTCATTCAGCACAGCGGTGAAGGGCGCTGCTCTCTCTGTGAATCGCGTAGCAGCAGCTCCCGCCGTTGCTCCCCACGGACTCGGAGTCTCCGCACTCCTCGGTTTTAACAAAACCGCTGTCCCCGCTAAGTCCACCCCCGTGAAGAAGCAACTCCGTACAGAAGATGGCATTTTTGGCACATCCGGCGGCTTCGGCTTCACGAAAGCCAACGAACTCTTCGTCGGCCGCGTGGCGATGCTCGGATTCGCCGCGTCGCTCCTCGGCGAAGCGGTAACCGGGCAAGGAATTCTTTCGCAACTCAACCTCGAGACCGGAATCCCCATCACCGAAGCCGAGCCGCTGCTCCTCTTCTTCATCGCATTCACCGTGCTCGGCGCGATCGGCGGGCTGGGCGATCGCGGAAAATTCGTCGACGACGAGGCGCCCGCGAGTCCTCCAGTGAAGCCGGGGAGTTTCAAGGCCGCGCTTGGGCTGAGTGACGACGGACCTCTGTTCGGGTTTACCAAGGCTAACGAGCTGTTTATGGGGCGCATGGCGCAATTAGGGTTCGCGGCGAGTTTGATCGGTGAGGTGATCACCGGGAGAGGCGCTTTGGCGCAGCTGAATATTGAGACCGGGCTGCCGATTTTTGAGTTGGAGCCGCTGCTGCTGGCGAGCATCGCGTTCTTCTTCGTCGCGGCAATAAACCCCGGTACAGGGAAGTTCATTAACGATGAAGAGTAGAGTACGAAGCACCTGTATATAATATACAGATAAGTTCTTAGTTGTTTACTTATACACATGGATTTACGAGTTCATTTCTTCATCTACGCAAAAAGCTGGTTTCTTTTACTTGAAAGTTTTAATTCAAGGCTTCCACACATGGAAGTAGGTCGGCCATGCCAGAAGCAGACTGCTTATGGCATGTATTTCCGGAAAGATTCCTGTTTACAATAATTGGCCAAAATCAAACAAGTGTCTGCATTCGTATCTATGACATGACAGTGGTCCAAACAGCTAACAGGCGAGAATTACTGATACCGTATGAAGGCTAAATATACACCTTCTGCACTTCTCCATCCATTGCTGCACTCCACCCATTCACCAATTCGCTTACCCTCGATGTGCATAGCACAAGTGGGATGTGGTGTTACGTATATTGCAATGATTATCCACATGCTCAGGGGCGCAGGGTTCAGTACCGCAGGTTGTGGTGCGCACAAGACTCCAGAAAGGTGGGCTCATCCCCTCCCCCTTCCCTCACTCTTCTCCCCCTTCTCATTCCACACTCAGTACCGCAGGTTGCGGTGTCCACAGGACTCTAAAAGGGTGGGCTCAATTCCCCTCCGTTCCCCCTCAACCCCCCCTCCCCAACCCACTCCCCTCCCTTGCTCCCCCCCCCCCCCTTCTCACCCATTCAGTACCGCAGGTTGTGGTGCACACACGAAGGTGGGCTCGCCGTCCTATCTCCCTCTTCATCCAGCCCCCCATCTTCCCCATCTTCCCCATCTTCCCCATCTTCCCCATCTTCCCCATCCGCCCCATCTTCCCCATCTTCCCCATCTTCCCCATCTTCCCCATCTTCCCCATCTTCCCCATCTGCCCTATCTTCCCCATCTTCCCCATCTTCCCCATCTTCCCCATCTTCCCCATCTGCCCTATCTTCCCCATCTTCCCCATCTTCCCCATCTTCCCCATCTTCCCCATCTTCCCCATCTTCCCCATCTTCCCCATCTGCCCTATCTTCCCCATCTTCCCCATCTTCCCCATCTTCCCCATCTGCCCCATCTTCCCCATCTTCCCCATCTTCCCCATCTTCCCCATCTTCCCCATCTGCCCTATCTTCCCCATCTTCCCCATCTTCCCCATCTTCCCCATCTTCCCCATCTGCCCTATCTTCCCCATCTGCCCCATCTTCCCCATCTTCCCCATCTGCCCCATCTTCCCCATCTGCCCCCTCTTCTCCCTTGCAGAGTTCAGTACCGCAGGTTGCGGTGCACACACAACTCTAAGAAGGTCGGATCGCCGTCCTCTGCACCTCCCTTCTGCCGTCAACCCAGCGTCTCCAGGTGCTTGCTCACCCACGACAGCACTCCCCCTCCCTCTTCTTCCTCTTCTTTCCCCCTCTCATTACCGCATCTGATGGGGGAGAGGAAGGGAGGAGAGGGGGGGGTGCAAAACAGGGGCAAGGGGTGGAGTGCAGTGTGAGAGCTCATGCATGCATGTGTGCGTCGAGGTGCTTGCTCACCCATGAAAGCACGTCCTTCATTGCCACATCCATGCGCACCTCATGGGGCTGAGAAAGTGTTGGTGTGGGAGGGGAGATGATGGGATGGGAGGGAGTGTAGAGGGAGTGAGTGTGGTGAGGGTCTCATCTCATTAAAGCTGAGAGCTAGCGTCTCGAGAAGCTTTCTCACCCTTGTCCATCCTTTACAGCACGCCCTTCATTGCCATGTCCAAGGTGACTTTTGAGTCCACTCAAAAGTCATCTCGTCTCGAGATGCTTGCTCACCCTTGTCCATCCTCGACAGCATGCCCTTCATTGCCATGTCCATTTTTGTCTCAATTTCATACCCCACACCTCCCCATAACCCACACCTCCCCAAAATCACCCACCAGTGGCTCGCCACTCTCTTTGCAACCTGCCTAGCCTGCCTCTCCTCTTAATCACCAGCCCACCTGCTCACACCAGCCCACCTGCTCACACCAGCCCACCTGCTCACACCAGCCCACCTGCCCAAACCCCCCACCTCCCCATAACCCTCCACCTGCTCATCACCACTCCACCTGATCCTAACCATCCCACCTGCTCCTAACCATCCCACCTGCTCCTAACCATCCCACCTGTCCAACACCCCCCACCGCCCACAACCTCCCACCTGCCCACCACCCCTCACCTGTCCAGCCCATAACTCCCCACCTTCGCATAAGTCAGGTCAAGGCAATCTGCCTCCAGATTGGCCGTCTTCCTATCCTCCTCATGGGCGTTCGTGAGTCGATGCGTAGAGGAGACTGCTCCAACTCAGTCCCCTCCATTACCCAGACCATCCCACCTACTCAAACCCCCCTACCTACTCAAACCACCCTACCTGCTCAAACCACCCTACCCACTCAAACCACCCTACCTGCTCAAACCACCCCACCTGCTCAAACCACCCTACCTACTCAAACCACCCCACCTACTCAAACCACCCCACCTGCTCAAACCACCCTACCTACTCAAACCACCCTACCTACTCAAACCACCCTACCTACTCAAACCACCCTACCTACTCAAACCACCCTACCTGCTCAAACCACCCTACCTGCTCAAACCACTCTACCTGCTCAAACCACCCCACCTACTCAAACCACCCTACCCACTCAAACTACCCTACCTACTCAAACCACCCTACCTACTCAAACCACCCTACCTGCTCAAACCACCCTACCTGCTCAAACCACCCTACCTGCTCAAACCACCCTACCTACTCAAACCACCCTACCTGCTCAAACCACCCTACCTACTCAAACCACCCTACCTGCTCAAACCACCCTACCTGCTCATAGGGGTCGAGACACTCTGCCTCAATCTCGGCAGTTTTTCTATCTCGGCAGTTTTTTCATCTCGGCAGTTTTTCTATCTCGGCAGTTTTTTCATCTCGGCAGTTTTTTCATCTCGGCAGTTTTTTCATCTCGGCAGTTTTTATATCTCGGCAGTTTTTATATCTCGGCAGTTTTTCTATCTCGGCAGTTTTTTTTATCTCAGCAGTTTTTTTATCTCGGCAGTTTTTCAATCTCGGCAGTTTTTTTTATCTTGGCGGCGTGGCTCCCAGCCCCAGCACTGCCTTGAGCAGATTGCTGACCCACGCTGATACCTGTGGGGGTTGAGGGTGAAGAGCGGTGGGAGAGGGGAGGATGGTTTTGTGAATTGGTGCAGAGGAGAGACGAATGGTTGGTCTCATCGGCGTTGAAGGTGTCTCACTGCCGCAGCACCACCGCATTCTCTAGGCACTGCGGCGTGACTCCGTCTGGGGGCTTGAAGAGCGGCGCTGCCCTTCAAGCCACCGAACGGGGCTTAAGCAGACTGCTGGCCCACGCTGATATCTGCGTGGGTGGGTGAGATGGAAGTCGAGTGAGGGAAGGGAAATGGGAGGGCAGTGAGGGGTCGGAGTAGAAGAGGAGAGAGAGTGGGAAGGAGGGGGGGGGTGTTGAGTTGGTGAATTTGAGAGGCAAATGCTGCAGCACCACAGCGGTGTGACCCCGTTCAGTGGCCTGAAGGGCGGTGTTGCCCCTGGCCCCAGCACTGCCTTGAGCAGATTGCTGGCCCACGCTGATACCTGTGCGGGTGTGTGGGGAGGAGGGGACGGGGGAGAAGGGGAAAAACAGAAGCGGGTATGGGGGAGGGGAACAGAGGGGAGGGGGTAAAGAGTGGTTAGTGAATTGGTGCAAAAGAGAGGCGCATGGTTCATCGCTGGCGTTGAAGGTGTCTCGCTGCCGCAGCACCACCGCATTCTCCAGGGCCAGGCACTGCGGTGTGACCCCGTTCAGTGGCTTGAACGGCGACGCTGCCCCCAGCCCCAGCACTGCCTTGAGCAGATTGTTGGCCCACGCTGATATCTGTGAATGGGGTAGAGAGTGTGGAGGGGGAGAGGAGGAGGGGGTCGATAGCCGCTGCCTCAAGAAATCCGCTGCCTCAAGAAATCCGCTGCATCCTACGCAACAATGCCTCGAGCAGATTCCTGGGCCACGCTGATACCTGTGTGGGTGGGTCCGCACATGAGTGTGGGAAACCACTAAAAGACGCGAGAGGTACAGACATTCCTCCTTTCAAAGACGCACACAATCACCCAACCCCCCTAGCATGCCATCCTGGGCATGCCATCCTGGAAGAGCATGAGCCAGCCGGGTGGGCCTGAAGCAGCCGTGGGAGCGAAAGAGAAGGAGAAAAAGACACACACCCCGCCCCTCCACCTCCAACCAAGCCCATACACAACCCAAATCAGCCCAATCTGCTCACCTACGTCCTGAGCATGCCGCCTTGAAACAGCATGAGCCTGGCGGGGCCGAAGCAGCCGTGGGCGCGACGCCATGTGGCGAGGGAGGAGGCGAGGTGCAGCAGAGTGAAGCGGCCCTCGAAGCCCCACTGGCTGTGCGCGATGAAGGTGCTGCCTGAGAGGTGGCCCGCGTCTGGAGGGACTGAAGCGAAGTCAAGAAGAGTGTACGGGTTGCGCGATGGGTCGTCCGTGTCCTCGTCGTTGCCTCTCTGGTGGGGAAGGGTAGGTGGGAGCGGTGGTGGAAGGGAGGCAGAGGGTTCTGACTGGTGGAAGGTGCAGTGAGGAGATGTCATGGTTGAGTCAAGGAGTGTACTGGTTGCTCGATGGGTCGTCCGTGTCCTCGTCGTTGTCCCCCTGGTGGTTCACGGATATCGGAGCCGGGAGGGAGTGATGTTGGGAGGATGGTGAAGAGAGGAGGAGTTGTCAGAGTTGAGAGAGTGAGCTGGTCGCGCGATGGGTCGTCCATGTCCACGTCGTTGTCCCCCTGGTGGGTAGCATACAAGGCCGTGGGTTGGAGGAGGAGGAGGAGGAGGAGGGACGGCCAACGAGGGAGGGAGGGAAGGAAGGAGGGAGGGGAGACGGGGGTGAAAAGTGAGCCAAACAAAATTACAGACATGTTGACTAGAGGTGCACATGCCAAGTCGCGCACGCACACAGATAACGCACATGACGTGTCGGTTGACGGTGTGCGTGGGCACTTGAGAAATCTCAGTGGTGGTGAGGGGGTGCTGGAAGGTCAGCTGCTTCAGGAACTGCTTGTTTTGACGCACCATCAGGCACTCACACCAGGGCCCAAAATTGGTTTTGGCCACCCTGACTAATCAGGGTTTCAGGCCAGCTCTACCCTGACTCATAGGGTATAAATTTTCATACCCTGCCAAAAACAGCCTAAAAAAACTTGTACACTAATTATGACAGCGTAAAAATTATGATCTGACATAGTTTTTAGTAGTGAAATGTCAACAGGTTGTGTCTCAGCTGGTTAGATGTTAGGCTAGGTTTCGCAAGAACGCAAGTTTGAATCCTGGCGCCGTCTTAATGTTTCGCGGCATCGCAAGGAATAACCTCACTACGGAAGATTCGGTATCAGTGTAATGTACAGTGCACCCTAACACGCCAAGGTAACCAAAATTGCTATCAGTGTATATCCGAAACTTAGCCTTTTTTCTCTAGGGTAAAAAGTTTGATACCCTGTTTTGAAAAGGGTAACTGGGAAAAAGCGGCCGCCCATCAGGGCAAACAGGGTATTTTACCCTAATAATTTGGGCCCTGACTCACACACACATGTACCTTGATGGAAACACACACCCACCTATACTTACACACCTTGATGCACATAACGTGTGTGGGTGGGCACTTGAGCGATATCAGTGGTGATGAGGGGGTGCTGGAAGGTCAGCTGCTTCAGGAACTGCTTGCTGCCTCGGTGCTCAAATGCGTCAGTCACCGACTCAATCACCATGTGCGCCGCTGTGCTGAGTCTGCGTCGTCGCACCACCTGATTGAGTGAGTGTGTGTGTGAGGGAGTGGGAGGGAGAAACGTCAAGGGTGGACGTGCATGAAGAGAGGCCATGGTCCTCAAACTCATTAAACACCGGCTCAAACACCATGTGCACTGCCGTGCTCAGCGCACCACTGCACCACCTGGGAGTGTGTAGGAGATAGCGGGGAGGGAGAAACGTGGAGAGGGGGGATGCATGAAGCCATTGGTGCTCCAAGCCTCTGACTGTGTGGGACGGAAATGTTTGCTTGCTGGCTATGAGGGAGTGCAATGTGATGTAACAGAAGCTAGAGTGCGTTGTGCGTCCATGTATGAACAAATGATTGGGGGAACAAGTGGCGATAACGTTGCGTTTCCCTGTTCCACTCTAGATTGCGTGATGATGTCTGCCCGAGACAATAGGTGAGCCCGAGACAACACTGGAAATGGGTCATTTTGAAATTTAGGGCCTAGGCGGAGGGTTGCACATACAGTACTGCGACCAGTGAAGAAATGTCGTCTTGCAACACAAATTCCACTATATCATGAACCCACATCCTCGTTCACTAAATATCAGATAGTTCTCGCAAGTCACCTAGCACACGTACGGCGGCGGCATATCAACAAAATTATACAGTGCAAGCTTGTTACTTGTGCTTGCGGCCATAGTGTCCGTGGTGGCCACCCTTATGCTTGCCACCATGGTGACCGTAATGGCCACCCTTGTGCTTGCCGCCGTGGTGACCGTGGTGACCGTGGCCGTGACCGTGGCCCTTGCCGCCGTAGTGGTGGCCCTTGCCCTTCTTCTCGCTGCCGTATCCGCCGGTAAGGCCAGTCACGACGACATCTCCGCGTGGTGCGGGGCCACCTGCATTTCGAAAGCGGAATCATGAACGCGAGAACGAAATCAGTAATCAGATAGGCGAAAACGCTGAGATTCACATAACGCCAAGAGTAGAGACCAGCCGTACCTGGAAGAGGGTAGTCATACGGGCTGGGGCTGCTTTCGCCGGCTGCATGAAGAGACAACACGGATTACAAAAACCAGGTCAGTACTCCCGCAGACTGGAACGTCCTACTGGTAGGAAGCCAATTATAAGGATTGGTGCAAGCACACTCACAGAAAGACATTGTGAATAATTGGCGAACTGCTACTCCAAGAATGTGAAACGATGACTGAAGAATTCCGCAGACGGAGCTCCATTTATTCACGTTTGGTGCATAACTTGGTTTACGCTGTGGGATGAGTGAAGCCGACGGCAAAGCCTTGGTCAGTGCTTGCTGGTTCTTTCTGAAATGTCCCGGTCAAGCCAGCGTGGCAGTCGAACATTGGCGAGCACAGTCAAAGAATCTACATCTCTCCACTTGCTGAATGCCACGAGGTTCGAGACACGCTTGAGAGATGCACCCAAGGTTCGTCGCCCAAACACCGACAAGTTTATTGACGCTTGGGAAACGCGAGCCTAGCGGTTCGGTTGGGCGGAAGCTCAAGGTTCCCAGACCCGGAGAATGCCTTGGTTCGTTGCATCCAGCCCAGATCCAGCCGTATACCTTTCTCGAATCGAACCGACATCTAGAACAAGTATACATGTACAATAACAGGTAGTATGTTTTACAAACAAGTCAAAATCAATGCTATTTTCTCCTCAACTCTTCCCACTACCATTCAGGATTTTCGTCTTCCCAACCCATCCTCCTGATTCTGAATATCAGAGGCTCCTCCAAAGGCTGTCAGCAGAACGTATTTTGTGCAAAAGTTGGAAACAGCAAAAATTTTAGACCATTCAACATCAGAAATTCCTGAAGCGTAAGCAGGTTGCACTACCTCCAATAAAAGCACGACGCCCTTCGTGAGAAAAAAAAAAAAACATGCATAGTTAGATGCGTGTTACATTGATTCTCAACAGGAGCAACATAGTGGCAGCATTTACCACGTACGAGCATGTGAACGCCTTCTACTTGTGCCTACGGCCGAAGAGGCCCTTGCGCTTGCCGATCCTGTGGCCCAACCCCTTATGCTTGTGACCTCCGTGGTGACCATGATGCTTGTGGTGACCGTGACGTCCCTTGAAATGGCCCTTGAAATGCTTGCCCTTGCCTTTCTTCTCACTGCCGTATCCGCCAGTGAGGCCAGTCACGACCACATCCCCACGTGGCGAGGGTCCACCTGAAAGTGTGTTCCGAATATACAACGGGATCGTAAGCAAATTCGGAATACAAAAGAAAAGAATAATGCTGAAACGCGTGGAATTGGAATTGTGAGGATAAGATCGAGTCGCACCTGGGAGAGGATAGTCATACGGGCTGGGGTCGCTTCCGCCATCTGACAGGGGCACAGATCACACGGACCTAAGTCAGTACTGCCATATCAAGGAAACAACTAGCTCACTGCTGGGAATGGCGGAAGCACTATCACTCACAATAAGACATCTTGACGACCGGGTTGAAAGGAAGCTAACTCCAAGTGTGACAAGGAATGACTGAATGGAAATGGCAAGGACAGACGATATATGGGCGCGCGCTTGCCAAATTCGGGCAATAGCAGGTAAGGGGCTTGTCACATTGGGCGAAAACAGGCTGTTCTAAAGCCCGAATTTTAGGGATGAAGTTAGGTAAGGTATGTTTAAAAAACAACTCACGTCGGTTAAGTACGGTGCTTGTACGGAGGAAGACCCTCACTGGCCCGGGTCTGCCAGTGCTTGTGTGACCCAGTGATCCCGCAGTACAGTAACTTCAAGGTGGCAGCTATTCATTCGCGGCACAGTCAACACAGTGAATACATGCGTGTTATTGAGTGCCACGGAAGTTGGTACACACTGGCGAGAGATTCCCGTTCGGGTGATCACCAAACCACTGACAAGCCAATGTCGAATCACAAATCAAGAAAGAAGGGGCACCCCCGTAAGAGGCCATCATAGCGAAAGGGGTACTGGACTGGACATTACAGAAAAATATCAATTTCCCAATTGTAACCCTGCTCGTGCGTGGTCAAGCGTACAGAGGGTGAAACTCACAAATTGGATGGTCAATGTATGGACTTTATCGGTCTACTTCATCTTGTAGAATCGTTGGACGCAACAATTCTATAACGAGTTTCTCAATACAAGGATTTCGCGCCTCGCCTATTCTGACACAACCCCAAGAACCCAGACCTGGAAACCATCATCATAGAGCCGTTGCAATCAGAAAAGAGTTCATTGCTTCCAGCGTTTGGCAAATGCTGTACCAGATCAGAAGTCTCCACTTGTTTGAATCTATGAAACTATTGAAGTGAGCGAGCGATTACGTGACTGATACGACGGGTTGTTCGCCAGAGATACTTACTTTTGTTATCTTCTAGGGCAATGTACTAGTCTACGAGGCTGTTTATGTGCTCCTTTGAAACACATTGGGACTAGCTAGTCGCGAGTTCTTCCCAGCCTCGGTCACGAAACCTTTAAAACCGGAGGGCCAAGAAGGCCTAAATTGGTTCAACCTTCCTAACTTCGGTTGAGTTTGGCCCTGACACCCAAAATCTTGGCCAATTACATTGCTCGCCCCAACCAACCTTCCTAAGGTTGAACTTCTTGGCCCGCGGGTACGATTTTGTAGCCTTTCTGCACACGCTTGTACGCGCATTCACGAGCTTTGAGATTGTTCGCAACCGTTCGCGAACGGTTTTGAGAAATGAGGAGGGGCGGTGCGCGGGCCGATATGCAGCGCGGGATCGTGGTGGTTACGCCCGCACTCGACGCTGTATTCAAGGCAGCCCGGTCATCCGGGACTCTCAACCTCTCGGGGAAAGATCTCAAGTACGAAGCCACGAATCTAAGGAATTAGAAAGCTTTCCATTCTTTATTTGTTCCTCTGGTCTAGCCGAGTGACTAACACCCCGTTTGTGGTTTATACAGTATACAGTGTACGACGTGTCAGCAAAATGCTACGTTTTCCACTAATGCCTGATCTTTCGTTTTCGAAGCGGGCCTTGTTTTCTAGTGACTGTTGTCTTTGTTTCGAGCTGGTGTAAGAAAATAAATAAACAGAACACGAGCACTCGGTGCATTGGTATTCTCACCTTACATAGTTTCTTTCGGAACCATGCCGGCGAGACTTGCTAGTCGACGACTGCAGGTTATCCCCACTCCGTAATCGCCTCTCCATTCCTCCCTGACACCGCGTTTCCAAGTAAACTTCCGGCCAACGACGAGACCAGTGATCCGGTCTCCCTGACGCCCTGACATAGCTCTCTTGAGATGTCTCTACGCTTGTCGCTCTGACGTGGCGTCTATTGAGACGTCTCAACGCTTGTCGCCGTGACAAGGCGTCTCCGATGATCACTTTTGTCACCTAGGAATAACCTGGTGTCAACTAAAAGATCACCTCGTAAATTAGCAGGAGTAGACAAAAAATCCGCCTGCGTCACCTCCTTCAATTCAGATGGTTTCCATGACTTCTCTTCCGTCCCTCCGTGTCGTGTCTCACAGGGAAGTGCCTCCCGAGGTCTACTCTCTGCTGGACGACGTTCCTCAGTCCGAGAAGTGGTGGGAGGTGCGTCGATGTGCATGCATATACTGCATGTGGTGAGATGCGTGTGTGGTGAGAGATGTGCGTTGTCCCGAGTGATTTCTTCCGAGTTTCTACTCGCTGCTGGATGACGTTCCATATTCCGAAAAATAATGGGTGATATATTTGTAGAAATCAGTGCACCGATAGTGGACACCCCATTCCCCCCATCCCCGATTATCTTAACCCATCCCCCCCATCCCCCGTTATCTCCCCCCCAGGCCGTGGAGCTGCAGACGGTGCTGCTGGCGAGCAACGGCCTCGATCACATCTTAGGGATCGGCCTGTTTATTCCCCCTATCCCCTCCATCCCCTCAGGCGGTGGAGTTACAGAAGGTGCTGCTGGCGCGCAACAGCCTGACCCACATCTCAGAGGAGATCGGCCGCCTGCCCTGCCTCACGTGGCTTGACGTCAGTTACAATTCCCTGCCCCGCCTGCCTGCAGCTGTCGGCAAGTGCGTGAGCAGTTTGGTGTGTGGTGTGTCCATGTTGTGTGTGGAGTGGATGGGGCTTGGATTGTCTGGTGTGGTGTGTACAGGGTGTGGGAAAGAGAGCCTGGGGGTGAAGGAGATCGGCCGCCTGCCCTGACTCACATGGCTTGATGTTAGCTATAGACCTGCGCTGCGTGCCTGCCTCCACTGGCAAGTGAGTGTGGCGACTGGAGTGGTGTGTGGGGTGTACGGATTGTGATGCGTGGGCTCATGCTGTGGTGCATGTAATGGTGTGTGGATTGTGGAATGCGGAGATTGAAGTGTGGATTGTTGGCTCTGAGGTGTATGGTTCATGGCGTGGCATGGCAACATGCTGAAGCACATTCGGACACATTTATTCCATGTGCCCCCTGGTCCTCTCATTCAACCACTTCGCTCGTCCCATGATTCTGTGGTCCCTCCCTCCGTCCCCTCGTGTCCCCACTCCACCCAGGCTCGTGGAGCTCAAGAGCCTGCTGGCGAGCCCCAAAAATGTGACTCTTGAGAGGCCTCTCCGTCCCTGCATTCTCCACCTCACTCCACTGCACTCCACTGCACTCCACTGCACTCCACTGCACTCCACTGCACTCCACTGCACTCCACTGCACTCCACTGCATTCCACTGCACTCCACTGCTCTCCACTGCACCCCACTGCACTCCACTCAGGCTAGTGGAGCTCAAGAGTCTGCTGGCGAGTCACAACAAGCTGGAGTGCCTGCCAGAGGAGATCGGCGGTGCAGTGAACCTGGTCAAGTGAGTGCAACGAAACTGGTGAAATGAGTGACGCGAACCTGGTCAAGTCAGGAGCAGTAGCTCCCAGGTTGCCTTGTCTTTTCTTGTTCAATTATTCGCCAGAGGTTCTGTTTATACAATTTCTGTGTCATGTCCACCAATCACCTTCCCCACCAATCACTATATCCACCTATCACTATCCCCGCCAACCACGGTGCAGGCTGGACATCTCCCACAACGTGCTGGAAGGTCTGCCTGCTGCCCTTGCCGCCTGTACACTCCTAGCCCACCTCGAGGTCCGCGAGCCCCGCTCCCCTCCTCCCCCACCCTTCGTTTCCATTTCCACCTTTGCGTCTGAAATTTTTATTTTTGAGTCAAGATTTTTTCTGGAAAGGTTTTTGCTTGGAACGAACAATTTAAGCAGTCCAGCAGCGGCTCTTCTTCTCCCTCCTCTTTATGTCCCTTCGATTCCCTGCAGGCCTGCTCCAATCGCATAGCTTCCCTTCCAGCCTCCTTGGGTGCCTGCACTGCTCTCTCTCATCTCAATCTTGAGGTGTGTTGTGTTCCTGCTTGACCCTGTTCCCCCATAGGTAAAAAGTACCATGGTCCATGTTTTACTGGGTACATGCGCGGATGTTTGGATGTATTGTGAACCTCATATCGGCCCATGTTTCCGGAGTTGTTATCCGCCTCGATCTTTTTTTAGACATATTCTTTCTTGAAATAGCCCTTCCCTCCTTCCTTTCCTCTCCCCCCTCTCCCATTCTCCCGTCTCAACCCACACACCAGCTGTTTAACATTCCCTCCCTGAAACCAATCCATTTGCTCTCCTCTCCACGTCCTCTCTCCCAATTTCCCCTTCTCCTATCGCCCCCCACTCCCTCATCCTCCCCTCTCCCTCGCCATGCGCCACTGACAGAACAACCAGCTGCAGAGCATCCCCTCGCCTCTGCTCTCCTCACTCCGCAATCTAAGGCATCTCGACCTTGGTAAGCATTCATCCATAACGTCTTCGTTTGGTGTCACTTTTGAGAGCTCTCAAGTGTGGTAGGCACTCGTCCATCCACGATGCCTCTTCATCACCGTTTTCCCAATGATACTACGTCAGTATGACAGACATCGCTCTCTGTGGGATGTGGAAAGCATGTAACCGACTGGTACAGAACAGCAGCTTCAGTGTCGTCGTCCTTCTCCTCTCTCCGTGTCTCCTCCTCCTCTCTCTCTGTTTTTCCCTGTCTCCTCCTCTCTCCTTGTCTTTCCACGTCTCCTCCTCCTCCATCCTTGACGTTTCCCATCTCTCCTCCTCGTCTTTCCTTCCCAGCCCTCAGGGCGCAACCAGCTGCAGGCTCTCCCGGACGACATAGGAGCCTCTCGTCCCTCCTCTTTTCACTCCATGTCTCCTCTAAATTACATCTTTCCTCGTCTCTACAACCCCACCCACTGTTCAACCCCCCAGAGCGCAACCAGCTGCAGGCTTTCCCAGACGACATAGGAGCTTCTCGTCCCTCCTCGTCTCCTCTTTTCACTCCATGTCTCCTCTAATTTACATCTTGTCTCGTCTCTACAACCCCACCCGCTGTTCAACCCCCCAGAGCGCAACCAGCTGCAGGCTTTCCCAGACGACATAGGAGCTTCTCGTCCCTCCTCGTCTCCTCTTTTCACTCCATGTCTCCTCTAATTTACATCTTGTCTCGTCTCTACAACCCCACCCGCTGTTCAACCCCCCAGAGCGCAACCAGCTGCAGGCTTTCCCAGACGACATTGGAGCCTCTCGTCCCTCCTCGTCTCCTCTTTTTCTTTTCACTCCATGTCTCCTCTGATTTACATCTTGTCTCGTCTCTACAACCCCACCTGCTGTTCAACCCCCCAGAGCGCAACCAGCTGCAGGCTTTCCCAGACGACATTGGAGCCTCTCGTCCCTCCTCGTCTCCTCTTTTCACTCCCTGTCTCCTGTGATCTCTTCTTCTCTTGTGTCATCACCCCCGCTTTCCCTCCACCAGGGCGCAACCAGCTGCAGGCTTTCCCGGACGACATAGGGGGCCTCTCGTCCCTACTCCACCTCAATGCCTCCCAGAACCGTGCGTCTCACAAGTCCTGACTCTATAAAACCTGCCGTGTGTCTGTGTGTAACTGCCGTGCGCCGTGTCACAAGTCCTCACAATTCGTCGTAGGGCCTGCATTTGAAACCGCATATGTCTGTTCATACCTTTGGCCAACCATGTTCCTCAGGCCACACAGCCCTCACGAGCCCCCATGAGCCCTCATGAATCTTTGGGGGGTCGTGATCTTCACGCCAGAGCCCTTTTTGCGCTCCCCAAGAGTCCATATTCCCTTCCTCCCATGAATCTCTTGGCACCTGAATTTCCTGCTCCATTCTCGTCACTTGACTTCTGGGATGCTGTGAATCTTCCAATCTCTCTTCACCCATCCCTGCACTTCTTCTCCCCATGTGCCCTCCACTTCTCTCCATGTGCCATGCCAGTACGGCCAGGCCTTGTTTCTGTTTCATCCACCATGGGTGCCTGCATCTCAGTTGGCGACTAAAAAGGTCAATTGAGCCTCTCTTCCCTCACTCGCCCTCCGTCTCCCCATGCGCAATACCACCGCCAGGTCTTGTTTCTGTTCCATCCACCATTGGCGGCTGCACCTCCCTGCTGGAGCTACACCTAGGGTACGTTCTGATTTGAGTTCCACTTGGGGTACGTTTTGAGTTCCACTTGGAGTACGTTTTCAGTTACACCTGGGGTACGCTTTGAATTACACCTGGGGTACGTTTTGAATCACACCTGGGGTACGTATTATAGACCCGAAACCCTAAACTCCCACACCCCCGTTTCCCCTTCACCCAATTCCCCATTCATCGTTTCCCTTTCACCCCCGTTTCCCATTCACCCCACTTTCTCCGTCTCCCCACTTCCCCCTTCTCCTTCACCCCCCTTCCCTTCCACTCTCGTTTCCTCTTCACCCCCGATTCCCTTTCACCCCACTTTCCCCTTCTCCCCCCTTTCCCCTTCTCCCCCTTTCTCCTTCTCCCCTTTTCCCTTTCACTCCCCTTCCCTTTCACCCCCGTTTCCCCTTGACCCCCGTTTCCCTTTCACCCCACTTTACCGTTCTCCCCCTTTTCTCGAATGGTCCTTCACTAAACCCCCTTTCTCCTTCTCCCCTTTCCCTTCCAACCCCATTCCCTTTCACCCCCTTTTCCCCGTCGCCCCCGTGCCCTGCTCATGCATCTCACTGTGGCTCCACGCTGTGCCCCAGCCGCAACAAGCTGAAGCAGCTGCCAGCCGAAATATATTTCTGTAGTCGCTTCAAAAAACCGCTTCTTACTTTCCCTTTCACCCCTGTGCCCTGCTCATACAAATCACTGTCTCTCCACTCCGTGCCCCAGCCGCAACAAGCTGAAGCAGCTGCCAGCCGAAATCGGCCACCTGCGCTCCCTTGTGACGCTCTCTGTGCCTTCCAATAAGGTGTGCGTTCTCGCATGCATGCTTGCTCGCTATAAAGCGTCTAACCAGACATTCGTTCTTGTGACCCTCTCTGTGTGTGCATCGTCCCATGGTGAGGCACTTGCATCTTATGTGCTGTGTCTCACGTGCTGTGACTCACTTGTTGCAACTCCCATGCTCCTTACCTCCCTCTCCCCCCACTGCTGCACTACCTGGTCACTGTCTCCAACAATGATCTCCCCACCATCCCCACCTGTCCTCTTCCTCACTGCTTTCTCCTCCTTCCCCCCTCCCTTTTCCCCCTCCCCATCCCTGCTCTGCCAGCTGGAGGACCTCCCTCCGTCGCTGCGCCGCCTGAGCATTCAGGCTATTGATGTCTCCGACAATGACCTCCCCACCCTGCCTGCCTGGCTCGGTATGCCTAGCCTGCCTGCGTGGCTCGGGATGCTGAACCTGCCTGCCTGCCTTGCCACCGTGTCACATCATCACAGACCGCTGCAAACTTGTGCCAGCTATTTTTCCAAAATAGCATGTGGTTGATAGCATGTGGTTGATAGCATGTGGTTGATACCATGCTTTGAACACGCTTCGCTATCTGCCCTTGTCCCTTCCCATCCGTCAGGCAGCAGCAGCACGGCATCGAATTCTTCTTGAGAATAGCATATGTCAAGAACATGCAATTTTTGAGTCGACTCAAGAATTCTTCTTGAGAATAGCATATGTCAAGAACATGCAATTTTTGAGTCGACTCAAGAATTCTTCTTGAGAATAGCATATGTCAAGAACATGCAATTTTTGAGTCGACTCAAGAATTCTTCTTGAGAATAGCATATGTCAAGAGCATGCATGCACGCATGTCGGGTCATTCGAGCACGCCACGCACATCTGCACCTCCACTCTCATTCCGTTCCCTCCTGCAGCTTGAGTTTTGAGTCGACTCAAAACTCGATTCCCTCCTGCAGGTAGCATGGCATCGCGGCAGAGGGTTGCAGCAAGTGAGACGGTTTTTGAGCTGCCTTCAAATCCAATCCGTGCCACCCCATTCCCTTCCCTCCTGCAGGTAGCATGACATCGCTGCAGAGGGTCGCAGCAGCAGGCAATCCCATCAGAACAATCCGAAGGTATCGCTCTCCTAACAACCCTACCTTTGAGAAGTTGCAAAAGTGGTCGGATCTCTACGACATTTCCCCATTGTTGGTGACCGTTCCTAGTGCCCCCGTAGCACAAGCACTCTGATTTTCGGATCAGCAGCCTCATTGTTAACCATGCCTTGCCTCATTGTTAACCATGCCTTGCCTCATTGTTAACCATGCCTTGCCTCATTGTTAACCATGCCTTGCCTCATTGTTAACCATGCCTTGCCTCATTGTTAACCATGCCTTGCCTCATTGTTAACCATGCCTTGCCTCATTGTTAACCATGCCTTGCCTCATTGTTAACCATGCCTTGCCTCATTGTTAACCATGCCTTGCCTCATTGTTAACCATGCCTTGCCTCATTGTTAACCATGCCTTGCCTCATTGTTAACCATGCCTTGCCTCATTGTTAACCATGCCTTGCCTCATTGTTAACCATGCCTTGCCTCATTGTTAACCATGCCTTGCCTCATTGTTAACCATGCCTTGCCTCATTGTTAACCATGCCTTGCCTCATTGTTAACCATGCCTTGCCTCATCCCTTCATCTCCATCCCTGTCCTCCCCTCATCACCTCATCACCTCATCAGCTCATCACCTCATCACCTCATCACCTCTTCCCCTCATCCCCTCATCCCCTCATCCCCTCATCCCCTCATCCCCTAGTTCCCTCAACCTTCCCCCTCCCCCCCACAGCACGCTCATCAACAACCTTCTAGACTACCTGCGCTCTGAGTCCACCCTCAACACACCATCTGTGTTTTGAGTCGACTCGAAACACACCATGCCCCTCATGCCCCTCAACCCCACCCCTTCCCCACAGTGCTCTCATCAACGGCCCTGCTAAGAACCTTCTGGACTATCTATGCTCTGAGTCTTCCCTGAACCACACCGTGTGTGTTTTGAGTCGACTCAAAACACCCTCAACCCCTTCCCACCATTACAGCACGCTCATCAACGGCCCTGCCAAGAACCTTCTAAACTGTCTCCGCTCTCGCCTCCCTGCTGATTCCTTTGCCTCATCACCTCATCCTCTCATCCCCGAATCTCCTCATCCCCCCCCCCTCACAGCACGCTCATCTGCCAAGAACCTTTCGGACTATCTGCGCTCTTGTTCCAAGAGTCTCATGCACTTCCTATCACCTGCTCATCCTTCTCAACCGCCCCTCCCCTTCACAGCACGCTCATCAACGGCCCTGCCAAGAACCTTCTGGACTATCTGCGCTCTCGCCTCCCTGCTGCTTCTGCTGATGACAACGACTCAGGTGCGACCTGCCTCAGATACCACCTGCTCCAGCCTCCAGGTCCAGATATGGCCAGATATTACCTTATCCTCACGGCCCCAGCAATGAGCTTCCTCCCTGGTTTCCTTCTCTCTCGTCTACCTAATTCCGCTTTCGACAGCTATTTTCCACAATGTTTCAACAATCTTTCAGTGTTTCTTCTGCTCGTTTACCAGCCTGCTGCCAGCCCTCGCAATATCTACAATGCCCATTTCCCTGTGCCTGCCTGCCTGTTTTAGAGGCTCTCTAAAGAACCCTGCAGCTTTTCGGCACCATTGTTCTCTCGGCCTGTGCTGCCTTTCCCCCCTTCGCTCCACTTGCATTCCACCACTGAATTCACATCTGCAAACATTCCTTGGCCTTGGAGAAAATATATTTTGTCGAACTTCAGTTTTTCCTTTTCCTTTTCTCCTTTCTGAATAGTTTGTTTCTGAGATTTTTCAAATCTAGAGGTATTCCAAACGTCTTTTATTTTCCTTTTCCTCCTCTCCTCACTGTCTCATGCTCCACACCAGATACTGTCAGCGCTGCTGCACCTGCTGCATTGCGTGATCTGAATCTAGAATCACCGCGGGCTGCTGCTGCTGCTGCTGCTGCTCCTGCCGCTGCTGCTGCTGCTGCTGCTGTGACTGCTGCTGAGGCTGACTCGGTGCCACAGATTTTGCAATCGAGGCAGATCGAGGAGATAAAGAGCGGATTAGGAGACAGGGTGGAGAGAGCAGGAGGAGTGGAGGGAGGGGTGGAGGGGGAGGGAGGTGCGGTGGCGGCTGCAGAAGCAGCAGTGGCAGAGCCATGGCTGAGGGAGTGCTTTGAGGGAGGGGTGAGTGAATAAATCTATCAGGATGAGAGAAAGGGGTGGGTGGAAAGCGGTTCTTTGGGATGTCATAATCAGTGAAGCCCCTTTCACTTAGGCATCTGGCTGGCTTTGTTCTTCCTTATTCAGAGCGACCTTCGTCCATTGTACAGCATCTTCCTTATTCAGAGTGAAATGAAATCAAAACTAACCAGCTGACGATCCCTCGCCCCTCCTTCCCCTCCTGCCCCTCCTCTTCCCCTCCTGCCCCTCCTCTTCCTCTCCTGCCCCTCCCATCCCCTCCCTCCCCTCCCTCCCCTCCCATCCCCTCCTTCCCCTCCCTCCCCTCCCATCCCCTCCTTCCCCTCCCTCCCCTCCCTTGCCCCTTCCCCTCCCTCCCCTCCCATCCCTTCCTTCCCTTCCCATACCCTCCTTCCCTTCCTTCCCCTCCTTCCCCTCCTTTCCCTCCTTTCCCTTCTTCCCCTTCTGCCCGTCCTTCCCCTCCTTTCCCTCGTCTCCCCCCTTCCCTTCCCATCCCCACCTTCCCCTCCTTCCCTTCCGCACAGACACTCCAGCTGTCAAAGAAGAGCCTAGAAGAGCTGCCACTTGGCATCACGGCATTGGCTGCGGGTGACATCCCACTGACGTCCATCAACGCCTCTCACAACTCTCTCACCTCGTTGCCCTCCTTCCTCTCAACCTGCACCTCCCTCGCGGTGAGTGAGCAAGTCTCCTTTTTGAAAATCAACTGTAACCACAGCCCGATCATCTTGCTGCCCTCTTTCCTCTCAGCTTGCACCTCCCTGACTGTGAGTGTATGAAACGTTCTTTGCTCCTCCACCACCACCACCACCACCACCACCACCACCACCACCACCATTCCGTGTCCCGCACCATGCCCCCCACCATACTCCCCAACATGCTCCCCATTACAGGAGCTAGATCTTTCAACCAATAAGATTGCAGCCTGGCCTTCCATCGCTCTGCGTTCTCTCCCATTGCTCCGCACGCTCTCCCTCGCAAACAACCCCCTGGGGCAGGTGGGGCTGGGGCAGGTGTGTATAGGGGCGGTTGGGACCGGAGCGGGTGGGGATGAGGACACTACAAGCAGTTTGGGATTGAGTCACATCCAGAATGCACACTTTGATGTTTTGTGCTTTCTCCAATCACACCACACGCTCTCCCTTGTGGGGGAGGTGGGGATAGGGGCAGGTGAGGTGAGGTTGAGGTGGGTGGTGTCGGTTTTGAGACGCTGCAAAGCAGGTGGGGTCTAAGTCGAGTTCAGAATTCGCGTTTTGTTGCTCTCCGCTCGCTCGCTCCCACCATGTACCACCCTCTCCCTCCCCACCGACCCTCTGGGACAGGTGTGACTGGGGCTAGTGGACTAGTGGGCTAGTGGGCTAGTGGGCTAGTGGGCTAGTGGGCTAGTGGGCTAGAAATGAAAGAGCATGCCTTTCACAGTGGGGATTTCTCCCTTTGCTGACTTTTTCCTTCCCAACACTCCCTTCCCCTTCTCCTCTCCTCAAATGGTCCGTTGTATTAATGATTGACATGCATACAACGGAGATGGTACAGCACAGGTCCTACACACCTACTCTCCTCTCTCCACCTCCAGCTGCCACTATCAGCAGCACAGAACGGCCCTCGCTGCACCACCTGGACCTCTTTTTGAGGCGCCTCAAAAGATTTTTTATTTTTTAGGCGCCTCTAAAACCCTAACAGTACCTCAGGACGGCCCCTCGCTGCACCACCTGAACCTCTCCTGCTGCTGCCCGTCCTCCCGCTCTTTTTCCCCTCATCCATCTCTCTTCTCCCTTCTCCACTCCCGACCCTCCCCTCCAGCTGCCCCTGACAGCACTACAGGACATCCCCTCGTTACAATGCTTGAATCTCTCCTGCTGCTGCCCGCCCTCCTCCCCCCCACTGCTCGCCCCCTCCGTCTCCCTGGCCGCCCTGGCCGCCCTTCCGCGCCTCGCTGAGCTGCACCTCAGGTAGGGAAACTTTGAGAGAAAAATGGGTAGGCGGGGTTGGTGAACAGTCAAGGTTCTTAATGGCCATCCTAAGGTTCTTCCTGGCCGCCCTTCGCCGCCTCACTGTGCTACACCTCAGGTAGGGAAAGGAAGAGAGATGAACGGGCAGCAGTGTTTGTGAACATTCAAAGTTCTTGATAGCCATCCTAAGGTTCTCCCAGGCCGCCCTTCCACGCCTGACAGAGCTGCACCTCAGGTAGGGAGCTGCACCTCAGGTAGGGAACATGCAACGCCCTTACTGGCCTGCCCTTTGAGTCGACTGAAAAGTGATAAGTCGAGTCAAAGGGGGTCTCCTCCCTGCCACTGCTCGCACCCTCCTCCCTGGCCGCTCTTCCGTGCCTCACAGAGCTGCACCTCAGGTAGACAAAGCTCTAAAAGGTCCTCAAAGCTCAACTCAAAAGTGTTTTTCCCTAATCTGTAGCCTGCGCCTCAGGTAGAGGAAGGGCAACGTTGGGAATTCTGAAAGGTTCCCTCTAAAATCCCCTCAGGTAGAAACGTGAATGCGCAGGCTAGGGTGAAAGGGAACACTGTCGCCTATCTGCCCTCCCTCCAAGCTTTGGCTCTTTCCAGTCATTGTACTGCATGGCACCGCACTGCATCGCATCTCACCTCCTCTCATCCCCTTCCACTTCCCTTATCCGCCAGAGGCAATCGCCTCACTGCTTTTCCTGCAGGCTTTGACTCTCTCCTCTCCCTCCGAGTCCTCAATCTCTCACAGAATCAAATTGAATCCATACCCGTTGTAAGTGAATCCATACCCGTTGTAAGCATGCCTCGCCAACCTGCTAAACACACCACTGCCTTACCTGAAACTTTTGTGTCTCTTTACAGGCACACCATGCTGTACTCCTTATAAGCACTTCTGACGCAGTTTCTCTGTGTCTCATTTTGTTGTTTTCATTGCTGTAATTCACTAGCTAGATCGTGCACCTTCCAGTGATTCGCACGGCCCTGTAATAATACTGTAGCATGGTAAATGTGTAGCCTCGTTACTGTGTAACCTGATAACTGTGTAACCGCATTCACCACCTCAATCCATACCAGGAAGTGACACAGCTGACTCAATTGGAGTCTCTCGACGTTTCGGACAACAACATTCCCATGCTGCCGCCCAAACTCGTGAGTCTGTTCTGTTGCAGGCAGGTCTTTAGTCTGTTTTGTTGTAAGTCTGTTTTGTGAATCCCCCCAAAATACAACGCTCTTGATGTATCGGCCAACAAGGTCTCCATGCTGACCCTCAAGCATGTGAGTCTGCTTCTCTCACCTCTCCTCCCCTGCTGCTGCTGCTGCTCCTGCATCCACTGTTGACGGTGTCTGTGTCGCTGCAACTGCATCTGCTGCTGTTGGTGCTCCTGTTTCAACTGCTTCACTTGTTGAGGGGACCCAATTATCTGCTAGCTCTTATGTTGCTGTTGATTTTGCTGCTACTGTTCCTGCACTGTCACTGAGTGTGTTTTCAAGGACTATAAGCAAAGCCGACCACTTGTTTCTTCCACTATAAGCAAAGTCATTCCATGGTTTGCTGATGTCTCTCCAGCTCCCTCGTCCTCTCTCTCACCTGTGTTACATAAGCAATCCCAATCAAGCGTGTTTCAAACCCTTTGGACTTGGTTCCACACCTCCCCGCCTTGCTTTTGTTCTCCTCTGAATCCATTCAGGGCTTGATGAAGAATCTCTCGCTCCTTCGAGCCGTGTTTTGAGTCGGCTCAAAACACGACTCAAAACATGACTCGAAACACGACTCAAAACAGGACTCGAAACACAACTCAAAACATGACTCAAAACACGACTCGAAACACAACTCAAAACATGACTCCCCCTCCCCGCTTTTGTTATCAACTCATTCAGGGCTTGATGAAGACTCTCTCGCTCCTTCGAGTCGATGGCAATCCCATCCGCACGTGAGATGCCATAAACCAAACCCTTGCCTTTCTTGAAGCACTTTCAGATTCTAGGAGTATCGAAGATGCCATGGGCTCTTGGTCAGTTATAGGCACATTATTCCAATAATCATCCCTTGTTACAAAAAAACAATTGCAACACATGAGGTCATTGTTCGGCATCCTTAAGTTTTAATGACAGCCACATTCGCACGTGAGGTGGAGTGGACTCTTACTGTTGCTTTTTCTCTTCCCCCCTTTTTTTCGCCTGCATCTGGAATTTCCAGACTTACTTGGTCTTGCCCCCTGTTTTATATACTCTCTGTTCCCTCTCATGTGCCTCCACTACCACACAATCAAATATAACTAATTCTATATCTAAAAGACCCTGCAGGTTTACCTTATCTTGCCCTCTGTTCCAAACCCCCTTTCTGTCCTTCCCATGCCATCCTATGCCCTCTCTCGCTGCCCCCTCCCATGTGCCTCCTGTACACCGAGCAGCATCAGGTGGAGCATCATAAACGGTGGCACTAAAGCGCTTCTGGCGTACCTTGAAGACCGCATTCCTGCTTGAAGTCACCCCCCTAATGCCCCACCTCAAACACACACACACACACACACACACACACACACACACGCACACGCACACACACACACGCACACACACGCGCACGCACAAGACGACGAGGACGAAAATAGCAGAGCAAGTGAAAGATTATGGAAGTGCCGCTTTTCTGAGGTGTATGAAACTCCCATGCCCTGATGGCATGTGCCTAGCCATGTTCATGATACTGTTCAATCATCCTAGGTCCTGAACATACAGCTGCCACCAGTGTGTAGCCAATCTTTAGCGTGGTGGGTATAAAACGTATGAGGCTCCGCCTGCCCGCAATATGAATAATTTAGAAATATATTTCTAAATTTAATGATTGTGACAAGCTTCGGAAAAGGGGAATGCAATAAAGAGGCATTCCCATCTTATCCTTCGGCAGGTCCACAGACCTGCCACCTAGTCTCATTTCACTCATCTCAATTTGAGTTGGCACAATCTCCCTCCTATGGTTAGACTTGGATCTCATCAACCCTCAACCCTCCTTCAAGACGTTTTTGCTGCTAGTCTTAACGAAATGGCGAGCGGATTTGTTTCTGCCGTTAACGGACGACCTCCTCCTACTCGCATTAACACCAGAAGTTCATCAATGCGTGGATCGCCTCGGCGAGACGAAGACAGAACTTCAACTTCTGGAAGGGAGAGGTCTCGCTCGCCCCGAAATGAACATCGCGCGGCAGTTACTGCTCTTGATTTAATTGGCGCCGCAGCTCGCGGAACCAACCGGAACGACGACGACCATCGGGCTCCAATCGCCACGACGGGTGCTCGCAACAGTCGCCCCGACGAACGCAATCAGGACGGACCTCGAGCGAGATCCCGCCCTGCCGGCGCGACTGTTGCAGCAGGAGCAGAAAACCGCCAGGGGCGTAATGATGACGCCCCTGGCAGTCGCGTCAACCACGAGGTGCCTCCCGGATTCGGAAATCCGGAGGTTGGCACTGTGGCCGCGGCAGTCTCGGCCCCTCAGGCCCCTCGGGCCCCTCAGGCCCCTCAGGCGCGTGCGTCAGGTCAGGAAAGGCACGCGCCTGAGGGACAGGGAGATCGCGCGCCAGCGTCAGCAGCGCGCGTGGCGAATCTTTCGCCTGGGAGAAATTCGCAGCCCCCGTCGCAGCAGAATCTGAAATCGAGACCGCGCGTGCAGCCGCTCGTCCAGATTTCGCCGCGATTCTCGAGAGTCTGGACAACACTGCACAGGCGAATCTGCTCCAGATTCTGGCGCAACTTTCTGGCGCCCCTGCAAGACGCGTTATGGAACGCCCCGCTTCTCCTTCGGCAGCGAACGCTCGGGCTACACCTTCTCGGAGCGACCGTATAGAGCGTCGTAATGTTAGCAACCCGGCGCACAATGTCGACGCACTTCACCAAATGACCGAGCTTTTGGCGACGCTCCAGCGCAACCACGCCAACGGGAGGCTGGCTCATCCTGAGAACCTTCGCCCAGCAACACGCCATGTCGAGGCTCCCGAGGCGGCCACGGACGAGGAAGAAGGCGAGCGTGGCATTTTCGAGGAAAATAACGAAGGTAACGGCCCTCGCCCTCTTCCGCACGCCCCCACTCCCCACTCGTCATCGGCACTTGTTCCTATTCCTCCAGCACGCCCGCATTTGCGATCTGCTCTCGTTAAGAGCGACGGTGTTCGTACTCAAATGTTTGGTTTTGAAAGAGTTCAAATCATTGCTCGCCATGCGTTGAGTGCCTTGCCTTCCGAGGGAAGCGAACAAGCGGCTCTCTATTTAAAAGAGATTGAACAAGAGGCCGAGGAAAAGATTCTGTTTCTGTTCACCGCTGACCAACGCGGCTTTGACGTGGCAAATGTGGCCCTAAAGATTAAATATGGGGAGGTGGTGGAGGATAAGACGGTAAAGTCCGCCGCTCAAATTGTGGCGGCAATGAAAAAGAGTCGCCCCGATCGTACCACCTCCTACCCCCAGCGGTACAACCAGAATAACAGTGGTCGAGGCAATGGCGAACGCTCTTGGAACAAGTGGCGTCGCGACGGGGATGGACGTTGCTTCATTTGCCGCGAGCCGGGCCATGGCTTTGCGCAGTGCCCCCAGCGCGAGCAAGGAGCGAACCAGCTCGCGCGTATCGTTTGATCGGCTGCCTTTGCATATTTCAATGCGTGAATGCTTTGCAAATCTATTGCTTAGCTTGTGGACATGGAAACTGTTTAATGTTTGAAGTTTATTAAAAAATCAAAGAGAGAGAGTAGGGGGGCTTCCCATATTTTGCATCCCCCTTTTGCCCAAAAGGCCAGGCCTGTGGTCCATATATGCATTTGTTTTTGTATTTCACAACGGCCACCCATCTCCCAGGCGCGCTAGTCCAATCTATACCACCACTCTCAACCCAAGTTCATATGCGCGGCCGATTACGAGGATGCACGGCATGGTGGTCCACGTGGTGTGACAGCAGATTTATACTTTCCATAATCTCGCGCGGTTACCAGTTACCATGGGTGAAAAACGAGC